TAACAAGGAAATGGATTTCTATTATCAAGGAAAAGAGCTCCCAAAGTATGGGAACAACATGTTATGACATCAGAAGGCCCAAAGTCCAATAAGGGTGTTTTAGTAGCCTAGAATGGGTTGTTCCCAAAACGAACGGGTCATTCCCAAAACTGGAACAGGTCATTCCAACTATTAAAAAGGTCTAAAACCCTAGTTGAGAACGGATCGTTCCAAACATGGTTGTTATGAGTTAAACTCAACTCTAGAACGGGCTATTTTGGTTTAAGAATGGGTCGTTCTAGATGCGAATTTAACACATGATGAAAGGATCCAGAACGGGCTATTCCAGATCCGAAACGGGCCGTTCTGGCCACTTCTGACATCTATAAATAGCAGACTGTGGTACTGTTCCTAGACACACTCTCTGAAGATCAAGGAGAACTAAGAGAATGAGATCAACCAGATTTTGCTCTAGCTTCATCTTCCGCTTATCCAGGTAAGAGGGGAGTGAGAAAACCTTGCTCGGGGGTGTGAGAATAATTTTTGGGTAGTAGGATTGGCCCCCAATCCCTTGCTTGATGCATGCTTCTAGGAACAGACAAAATATCAATGTTTTTATTTTATTTTATAAATGTTCTGTTGCGTTCCTTGTATGATGTTGAGCGTAAATATGTATTTAATTTCAAAACTAGACAAGTTTTGATATGAATTAGAGTGCTCTGTGAGTTCTTGTGAGAAACCCTATGAAGTAAAACTAAGAATATGATCTTTGGATGATTTTGAGGCATTATATGTAAAATTGATGATGGCTTCATGTTTTGGATAATTTCTTGGTATGATTTATGTACTATTTTGATGTATATGACTACAAGAAGTTCCTTGTATGAGACTATGTGAATATGACGTGAGAATGTGAAAGGTGAACATATGATATGTGATATGATATTATGAAATAATGGGTTAGAAACCTCTTTTGGTCCCTTATAATAATTTTTTGTTTTAATTTAGTCCCACTTTAAATTTTTGTTTCAATTTGGTCCCCAATAATTAAAATTATTGCAATTTGGGACTTCCGTCCAAATGATTTAAACGGGGTTAACTGTTGGTCACGTGGATGCCACGTAGATGCGTACGTGGATGCCACGTAGATGCGTACGTGGATGCCACGTAGATGCGTACGTGGAAGCCAAATTGCATGAATACACCTGGAATCAGAACGGTCCGTTCTGAAATCAGAACGGTTTATTCTAGATGCACTCTTGGTGTGTTAATTTTGCAACCGGATCGGGCCGTTCCAAATGCAAATTTCACACACCATCAATGCATCAGAACGGGACGTTCTGAAACCAAAACGGGTCATTCTGGTTTTAGAAAGCCAACTTCATGCATCCGTTGACCAAAATGCCGCAACGTGATTCAAAAATTAAAAATAAAAATTCATAACATATCATAAATTCAAAGACAGAAACATGGTTCAGAAACTGAAAATAAAAATTCAGAACATAACATATACTAAAAAGTTCAAAAAAATAACTAAGAAAGGAAATCATCTGAGTAACGCTGAAAGGAAACCCTAAACCACAAAAATCCAGGTTGTACCTCCTCAAGAGCATGTTGTTATTGTTGGGGTACATCGTCAATGAATTTAAAGGAAAACACCGTTTTGTTTCATCATTGACTATATAGTGTCAATTTGATAGTAAGTGGTTCACTCCAGTTTGACTAACAATGAAATAAAATCTGCTACCATTGTCTTTAGTGATACACTGCATTGTCCTTAATGATACGTTGTATAGCCCAACTGCTTAGCAATTAAAGTTATCAATTTTCATTTACATTATTACCAAATTCAGTGTTTAAAATTCTTTGTACCTTGGGTCTTTTTTCTTTCAATATTCACAACCGTAAACTATAATCAGTAACCATTCGTGTTTGGTATTCTGGAACCAGAACGGCCCGTTCTGAAAGCAGAACAGCCCGTTTTGGTTGCACTCTTAGTATGTTAATTTTGCACCTATAACTTTTGCTGCCGGATTCAAAATTAACACACCAAGAGTGCATCCATTTTGGCCCATTCTGGTTTCAAAACGGACCGTTCTGGTTCTAGGTTTTTTCAGAAATTTTGGCATCCACGTACGCATCTACGTGGCATCTACGTGGATGCCACGTGGCCAACAGTTAACTCCGTTTAAATCATTTGGGCAGAAGTCCCAAATTGCAATAATTTAAGTTATTGGGGACCAAATTGAGACCAAAAATTAAAGTGGGACTAAATTGAAACAAAAAAAATGTTATCAGGGACCAAAAGTGGTTTTTAACCTGAAATAATGTGACATGAGATATGATGAGACGTGATAAGTGAAATGTTGAGTCAATGAAATAGAGAATGTGTGACCAGCAATGAAATGATCTATTTCAGGTGTGCCGCTTAAGCTGCATACCAGTGATGTAATAAGCTATTCCAGGTGTACCTTGGGTCACCAGTGATGAAATGATCTATTCCAGGTGTGCCTTTTAGGCTGCATACCAGTGATGTATTGAGCTATTCTAGGTGTACCTTTGGTCACCGGTGATGTATTTATGAATGAACGTGCCCCTAGGTATGCTGCTGTAGCAACATACCAGTGATGAGAAATGTGAAACTTGAAACTTGAGACTTCTGTATGGCGCCACATGCATTCATTTATGACTCGAGTCCATGACACATAGCATGATAAAAGAGTGTGCATGTGATACTAATTGTGTATGTGTATTATTTACATGTGATTTGTGCTTATGACTTATGTTTGTTGCGTATGTGTTATCTAACCTTATTTCTGTACCTGAACTTGAATGAGATGTTTCTCACTCCCTTGTTGTTCTTGTATGTATTTAAATTGTGTTGCAGGTGATCATCAGCATGAGGATGTTGGTGATGAGGCTTAGGCTTCAATTGGGAGTGCTTTGATAGGATATGTGACATCGGGGCATAGTTAGGCTTAGTTTGGGAATTTAGTTTCTTTCTTTTATTTTGGAAAACCTTCAACTTTATTTCTTCTGTAATTTCCACAAGTGAATTATGATTATGTTTACGAATGTGAATTCTCTACTCTCATGTTAGTGGAACCATGGTTTTAATTCAAAAGATTTATTTACTCCAAGAATATGTTTTCATAATTATTATATATGTATGTTGGGGTAGAGGGTGTCACAATAGAGGGGAAAAATACATTAGCTTATAAAAAAAACATACGTGTAGAAAAAATTATCAGTATCCTTACTAAGTTCATTGACTCGTTGTAATTGATTCTGAAAATAATATCCTTACTAATTATAATTTTTTGGTGAAGATGGAAATTTCAAACAGGAGCAAAAACAAAAAAACTACACTATGCAAAAATGAAATTTATAATTGTTATAATTTATGGGGAAAAAGCCTCTACATCCACTAGAATCATCTCCAATTTGCAATGGATTATTAAACTCTGGCAGCCTCCACACTATTGTTATACGAACTCTTATCTTCCAATCAATTCTCCTAGCTACAATGTCCTTTAACAATGTAAACCTTTTAGTTATGTCCTTTGAAAAGAAGATGAAAGTAAAAAAGGAAAAAACTTAATAATATGTTCACTATACATCAACATTGAAACAACCAACCTTCAAAATTAAAACTTCATGGAAGCTTACCTAAAATTGGTTTTCCTACGATTGATAGAGAAAATGTGAATCCTCATATTAGAAGTACAAAAGTACCCAAATCAGAAAGTGGACAATGTAGATATTGAAAGTATTTTTATAAATAGGGAGTGTGATGGAATGGGACAATCAAAATGAAGTTTTGAAAAGAAAAATGCTTTAAAAATTAGAAGATAGTTGAGATCAATTGTCACTGAAAAGCTACAATCAAAGCATAAGAAATAGATATCCATAATTGTTTATCTAAGTGGAAGACAAAGTACAAGCAATTTAATGAGAAACGTATGAAATAGAGAGGAAGAGGATTTTTCTTCTATTCAGAAGTACTAAAAGTTTAACATTTATTAAATTAAAAAAATTCAAAATAATTATGATAAAATAAAGTTACAGAAGTATCCTTATTTTGGACGGGAAAAGAGAGTCACAAATTTCCTTTCTTTTATTATAATAAAGATATATGTTTGATAAAAAAAAAAATATTGCAACCATTAATTAAAGTAGTGAATGGTGGAGGAAGGAGGTGGGTGAGAGCGAAAAATTAATGAAGGAAGGGGGTATGACGACATGAGGGAAAAAGTGATTTCAAAAAGCCTAATGAGCTTGAGAATAAAATAGGAGGGTATTAGGGAAAAAATAAGAAAAGAAAAAATATATTTATAAATCATTAGAGGTGTAATTATCAAAAGCCGAAAGAATAACATTCAGTGCACATCAAATAAAACGAAAAAATTAAATTAAGGACAAATTATAGTGTTTCTTTAGGACAACAAAAATTATAGTAGCTGCTTTTTATTACTATATATAATATATCGTAAGAATTTCGTATAATTATGTCCAATACTTTTTGCGTATCAGAACATAAGAGTTCAAAATTACTTGTTTTTTTCTCTCTCAAAATGCATCATATGTCACTAATCTAATTTAAGATATAAATTTAACATATTTCACAGTTGCGATAGTTACACGTTTTCTTTGCCTCTTTTCAATTTCCATGAACTAAATCGTTGTCCATCATAACATTTGACAAAGTAATGATTTTTCTTTTTATATCTATAAGAAATATTAAATGTGACCAAAATTGAATCTAGGATTATTTTTTTTACTGTCCGACCATTAAATTAATTCTAATAATTTCACGATTTAAATAATGGGAAGAAGAAGTTTCTTGTATCTTTTGTATGAATATTTATTTTAGTCTACTTAGGGTAGAATGTCAACTCTTTGTTTTTTTCTTTTTTCTTTTTTTGAAAGGTGTGATTCTTATTTGAGACACGTGCTTAGATGGGACCCATGTGGGTCCTTACTATTTGTCTGCTTCTTAGACATATTCTCCTTAGCCACGATCAACATTTCAACTGCTCCTACAAATTATCTTCCAATATCATGTTTTCATGGACAAAAACATCACAAGAGGACCAACCCACGAGAGAGCTACGTTAATTATTATAAATTCTAGCTATGAAAGTGAGTTCGATTTTTATAGTTAAAATAAAAAGTGTACAGAACAGAAGACTGGAAACATAGCAGAGTAAGTGGGTTGATTTCATTTCTGAAACTCAAGGACGGTGTAGAAATGATCGACATGGAAGGCTTTGAAACGAGGGAAACCTGCAGCAATGGCTAGGTTCTTGAATTGCTCTTCAGTCCTGTGCTTCCCCTTGGCTCTGTAGATTGTCATGACAAATATGTCACCCTCAAGCAATGCCCTTGTTCTGTGACTCTCATCTGAGTTCTCTGGCACCACTGGCTCACAAGCTATTAGTTTTCCTCCCTCAGGCAGTGCCTTGTGACAGTTCTGCATTATCAGCTTGCATTCCTCATCTGTCCATGTTGTTAGCACCCACTGCCAGACAATGCCCCAAACATTGTACATAAAACTTACATGCATCATTATTATTATTAATTAATCCTAAATCTTAAATTCCTAAAAATTTTAATCTAAACACACCGTAATATTATATATATACTAATATATAAAAAAAATACTCCTTTAAATAATTACTTTAATCTTCATATTTAGTTGATTCATTATATTTTTTAAGAAAATAATATCTTTTATCAAAAATAAAATTTTAAAATTAATGAACTAATTATAACACTAAATTAATATATATTTATTATTTAATTTTTATTTTTATTTTATCTTTAATATACCTCTACTCTATTGGTTTACATAATAAAGCTTGACATTCTTCACAATTATATATATAAAAATAAAGAGACCTGCTGACATAAAATATTAGGATTTTTCAGGGTTTGGCTTTCACACGGATAAAGAGATAACCTTTTATGAAAAGAAAAGGACGAATGACATGGTGCAACGGACAAGATAGATATTTCGCTACAATTTTGCTTTTTCCGGTCCGTGAATCGACAAGTTCTCTACTATCGGCCAAAATACAAAATGTACATCAGCCAAAAAAGAATCAAAGAAATTAATATTTTCGCTATAAGAGTTTAATCGTGACGCGTGTATTAACTAATTAAATATCATCATTAATATAATTTTTACTTATAATAAAAATAAACAATTTATTAAAACTAATAATTTGTGTCGAATAAAAGTGTAAAACTATTTTATGTTTTTAGGACATCATTCATTTTTGCATATTGTAATTATTTTTTTTGCAATGTTAAAATTATTTTATTTATATTTTTAAAATAATTATTACAAATTTTCAATACATTTAATAATTATGCCTAACTAATTTAATTAGACAATAATGCAAAAATATTAACCAATAAGCATTATAATTGTACAAATTTTGTAACAGAGTTTTAGATGCTTAATTTGATTATATGTGACATGTGATTAGTTGTTGATTTGTTGTTAGGTGTCGTTTAATAACTTTAGAATCAAGGGACTTTGAAAGTTAAGTTATTTAACAAGACATGAACCTTGTAAGTTCATGTTTTAAGAAACCTTAAAAAAAGCAAGTAACAAATTTTTTAGAACTTGAGTAAATCTTCACTTTTCTAGACTAAAACCCTTTCTTCTCCTCTTCGTAGATGATCAAGACTTGTTGAGTGGGTGATTTGAGGCTGATTGACCATTGTAGGATAGGTTTTAAAACTAATTACGTAGATAAGACTGTTTTGAAATTATTTACACCTTTAGGAGTGTCGTTATGGCCCATAGCGACATCAGTACCACGTGTAATTGTTTTTTATAACTGAGAATGGCTTGAATTTAGCCACATAGAAATCGCTACCGGCTATAGCAACTTTACTAGTGTTGTTATCAACTCCTTCACCATTTAAAATGCCTCAATTTTATTAAAAACAAATTTTCATAAAAATAAAAAAAATATTTTAAAATATATTTATTTTAAGAATTGATCTTTTAAAATATTTTTATAAATTAAAAAAAAACAATATTTTTTAAAAATAACTCAAAATAGTTCAGTCAACTAAAAATAAATTAATAGTATATTTTAAGATAAATTTAAATAAATAAATTTATATTAAAAAAAACAGCATTTTTATAAAGAAAAAATTTTAAAATTTGAAAAAAAAATGAAGTAAAAAATAACTTTTTAAAAAAATTGAAAAAAATAAATGTGAATAAACAATTTATTAAAACTAATAATTTGTGTCGAATAAAAGTGTAAAACTATTTTATGTTTTTAGGACATCATTCATTTTTGCATATTGTAATTATTTTTTTTGCAATGTTAAAATTATTTTATTTATATTTTTAAAATAATTATTACAAATTTTCAATACATTTAATAATTATGCCTAACTAATTTAATTAGACAATAATGCAAAAATATTAACCAATAAGCATTATAATTGTACAAATTTTGTAACAGAGTTTTAGATGCTTAATTTGATTATATGTGACATGTGATTAGTTGTTGATTTGTTGTTAGGTGTCGTTTAATAACTTTAGAATCAAGGGACTTTGAAAGTTAAGTTATTTAACAAGACATGAACCTTGTAAGTTCATGTTTTAAGAAACCTTAAAAAAAGCAAGTAACAAATTTTTTAGAACTTGAGTAAATCTTCACTTTTCTAGACTAAAACCCTTTCTTCTCCTCTTCGTAGATGATCAAGACTTGTTGAGTGGGTGATTTGAGGCTGATTGACCATTGTAGGATAGGTTTTAAAACTAATTACGTAGATAAGACTGTTTTGAAATTATTTACACCTTTAGGAGTGTCGTTATGGCCCATAGCGACATCAGTACCACGTGTAATTGTTTTTTATAACTGAGAATGGCTTGAATTTAGCCACATAGAAATCGCTACCGGCTATAGCAACTTTACTAGTGTTGTTATCAACTCCTTCACCATTTAAAATGCCTCAATTTTATTAAAAACAAATTTTCATAAAAATAAAAAAAATATTTTAAAATATATTTATTTTAAGAATTGATCTTTTAAAATATTTTTATAAATTAAAAAAAAACAATATTTTTTAAAAATAACTCAAAATAGTTCAGTCAACTAAAAATAAATTAATAGTATATTTTAAGATAAATTTAAATAAATAAATTTATATTAAAAAAAACAGCATTTTTATAAAGAAAAAATTTTAAAATTTGAAAAAAAAATGAAGTAAAAAATAACTTTTTAAAAAAATTGAAAAAAATAAATGTGAAAAAAGAAAAAAGAAAAAAAAGAGGTCACTATAAGCTTTAGAGATACAAATTCGCTGTAGGTCCTGACGACTCTTGTAATCGATAAAAAAAATTATAATTTAAAAAATAATGAAAAAAATTAAAATACATCTAAACAAGAAAAGAAAAAATAAAATATAAAAGGAAAAATAACTGAAGGAAAAAATTGTAAAAAAAAAAGGCAAAAGAAAACAAATGAATTATAAAATAAATTTTTTTAAAAAAATGAGAAAAATAAATCTGAAGAAAAAATAATTAAAAAAATATAATATTTTTTACAAATAATCCAAAATAAGTGAATGGAAAAAAAAAAGGCAAAAAAATTAAATTACAAAATAATTTTAAAAAAAAAACTTGTAAAATAAATCTGAAAAAAAAAATGATCCAATGACTCAAAAAAAAATAAAATTTTAAGAAAAAAAAATTGAGGTAACTATGAGCCATAGCTGCTTTTTATCGCTATAGCCCATAGTGACTCTAAGTAGACAAAAAAAACAAACAAATTTATTAATAAAAAAAACTGAGGTCGCTATGTCCAAAAAAAAAAATATTGTGTCTACCTTCTTGTATGCTCGCCATGTGTCATTTTTACCACAAAAATACCTAATAAAAATTTGACATGTAGCACTGTAACAGTAAAAAAAACTTACCATAAAATAATTTTAAAACATTAATATATTTACATATTATTTTTCAAATTATAGCAACCTCCTTATTTTTATTTTTTTTTTTACTTTTTCTACATTTAATGTATCATTTTTTTTACTTTTTTTTATACTATTTTTTTTTGTTTTTTTTTTTACATTTTTGTCTTCACTTATTTTTACATTTTACCAGAGGTGCTAGGGCCCACAACGACCTTGTGTGCTATAAGTCATAGCGACCTCTTTTTTTTTTTTTTTTACTTTTTCTACATTTATTTTATCAATTTTTTTAAATATTTTTATTTTATATTTCTTTTTTTTCATTTTTCTTACATTTTTTTCCTTGAATTAATTTTATCTTTTAAATTTATTTTTTTTCTTTCCTTTTCCACGTGTATTTTTCTTCACATTTATTTTATCATTTTTTTAAATTTTTTAATTTTAACATTCATTTTTTTGTTTTTCCATTTTTTTATATTATTTCGCTTCAGTTATTTTTTTATAAAAATATTTAGTTTTTTATAAATTATAATTATACACTAAAAAAAATTAAATAAATCATATTTTTTCAAGCATATTATATACTATAATTTTAAATAAATTTTTTTAATAAAATAAAATTAATTGGTGTCGTTATAGGCTATAGCAACTTTATATGAAGTTGTTTTGTATCGCTATAAATTATAATGACTTTATATGAAGCGCTACCAGTTGTAGCAACTTTAATAATATGGCTTCATGGCTTAAAAAAAATTACACGTGGCACTAGTGTTACTATGACCCATAACGACACCGTGGTAAACTACCCCAAAGGTGTAAATAATTTTTTAAGAGTCTCATTTACGTAATTAATTTTGGAAACTACCCTACAATGGTCAATCAGCCGTGATTTGAAGCTTGTTGAACCTAGAAACCCCAAGTTGAAAGTTGTACAAAGTTGATTCTTCTCTTCTCTTCTTGGTTTGGATCAATAAGAGATAAGGGAAACTGTGTTTTGACCAATCCTAGATGAATGATGATTATTATTGTTTAGAATCACTATATTCATAGTTATTATTGTTTGAATTAATGGGATGATGACTTATGAAACTGTGATGTTTTTGAGGTTGTGTATAAGTAAGATATGATAATTGTTGAAACCCTGTGGATGCATGTTGTTTTCTATGATGAGAATAGGTTCTATATGTTGCATGTTGGTTATTTTCTAACTTTCAAGTGGATCGAGCTAAAATGAGTTTTTGTCAAGTGCAAAACCCATCATTGCACTGGACATGCCTTCATTGTGTGGGACGTGGCTCAAGTTGAGGAGTTCTCTATTTTGATCACATTGCACACAAGATTGGAAGAGCCAAGTGTGGATCAGTGAGGAGTCCTCTAACATAGTCACGTCAGACGAGGAATGAGCAACATCGAGCATGAGAACTCAAGAATTCTCTAACTTGGTGATAATGAACCTCTAAGGTGTGGTGCCCAATGTGATCAAGCCAATGAATTATTGCCTAAATGACGCCAGATAGAGGTTAAGTGACATCAAGTGTGAGTTAGTTAGAAATTCTCTACCTGATTAAGGTTAAGCATGGGTTTTGTCACACCAAGCGCGAGAGACTCAAAGGTTCTCTGTCTCACCCACATCCAATACAAGAGGATTGATGTTAAGTGTGGGCGAAACAAAAACCTCTTTATCTCAATTGCACCGAGCGCACTTAGAATGGCGTTGGGTGTGATATGTTGAAATGAAGGATGATGTTCAAAGTTGTTTATATGTTGAAGTATGATTAATTGAGTATTTGAATGATGATATATGATGTTTAATGTTATCTATGATGAGAATTGAGGAAGCTGGTAAAGTTGTAAGAAGTTGATGTTTTAAGTTGTATGTTGATAGTTAATGAAGTTGTATAAGTTGTATAATATTATAGTTGATTAAATTGTTAAGCAAGTAGTGTATATACATGTCATTGTTAAGATACATTAAAGCTAGAGAATAGTAAAATATGTTTTAGAAATTAAAATATTTCATTGTATGGATATAAATTGTGGTGCTTTGACAGGTTAGTTGAAACCCTTCAATAACTAAGTTAGTTTTTGAATGGTAGCTATTCTTAAAGATGTTTCATTTAGATTTTATATGGTATTTGTATGTGAACAAGATTGAAAGATACCTATATAAAGTGACTAATTGAGTAAAGTACAAGATTAGAGACTTAGCCCTTAACATAACATTGAAAGGGTGTAATATTTTGAAGTAGTTGATAGACTAATTCTATATAAGTGACTTAGTATTACAAGCTAATGTCGTGATAAACTCATATCCAAATTGTTTGACAATAATAAAGTACTAGACTTCCCAATTTAAATGGGCAAACCTTTGAAATCAAAATAAGTTGTTAAATAAGTTATCTAAGAGGCTTGGAGTTGTCTATATCTGACTTGGTTACGATTGGTCAAACATTATGATTCAGTAGAGTCTAGTCACTTAAACTGCTCATCTCTATTGTAAGAGATCTTCATATTAGATATGTGTGACAATACATTAGTTGCTTATTATTGCATATGTTAATGATGTTGTAATGTTGAAGTTGTTATGATATTTTGTGGTGTTGTAAATTATTGAGATGTTATTTATAAGTTGAAAGTTAATATGTAGAATTGCATTAGATGTTGATCAAATTCTTTAAGTTGTATTATTGTAAGTCAATGTTGCATGTTTATATTGTTTTTGTTTCGCAAACTTACCCTCCTTTTCCTTGTAGTTGGAATTACAATAATCATATTTGGTATTAAAGTAAGGCAAAATGAGCAAGTAAACTTGTCTGGTTGTGGAAGGTCATGTTGGAGATGACCAGTCTTTGTTTTGGTGATATTGCTCTTATGCAATCTTGGTCTTGTTTAGGCACTTCACTAGCAAGTATGGTTTATTTTGTGTACAGGTGTATCTTGATAGTATATATGTACTGGAGTTGTTTTAAATTTTTTGTTTCTTACATATGTCTCTGTTGGGATACAAACAAGTCCCACATTGATAAAATAGAATAAGAAATAACAACTTATATAATACAAACATATTTCTATGATCGAGAGGCTTTTTGGGTGATTACCAAAAGCAAAACCGTGAGGGCTAAGGTTCAAAGCGGACAATATCTCATCATTGTAAAGTATGTTTGTGTAATAACCTTATAAAAATAACTATCACCATCATAAAATATCTCCTCAGACAAATACCAACAAAATAATCTCATTAGTGGTATCAGAGCGGGCTAAGCCCAAAGCAGACAAGATCTCATCATTATGAAGTATGTTTGTGTAATAACCTACCCCCATAAAAACTCATAAACTCATAACATATAATGTGCTATATAAAGACAGATTCCGCTACATGAAAGATTAAGTCCCTTGTTTGAGGGAAAGATTGTTGGGATACAAACAAGTCCCACATCAATAAATAAAAAAAAAAATAACAACTTATATAACATAAACATACTTCAATGATTGAGAGACCTTTTGGGTGATGACCAAAAGCAAAGCCGTGAAGGCTAAGGCTCAAAGCGAACAATATCTCATCATTGTGGAGTATGTTTGTGTAATAACTTTATAAAATAACACTCATAAAATATCCACTTAGACAAATACTATAAAATAACTTCATCAGTCTCATGTCTATAACATGAGACTTGTTACCTATTGTATAATAATCCTAAAGTAATTGATGCTTAATTTATCTTTTCACTACATTGTAGTTGAAATATAGTAAGTGTAGTGACTTTTAAAGTCATTACATATTTGGTCTCCTAAATTTTATTTGTGAAATTTCAATCCTTCAAGTATCACGTAGTACAATTTTAATCACTCAAATATCGTAATTATATAACTTTTAACCTATTTAACTTGCATATAACATAATTTTCATTCATGTATTAAATGATATATATATATATATATATATATTACTAAAATTAATAATATATGTAACTTAAATAGGTAAAAAAAATTACATACTTATAATACTTACTATTAGAATTACACAATTATATTATTTAAAAGATTAAGATTACTCAATTAAAATTTCATAAACTAAAATCATATAACTACTATACTTGGAAGGAAAAAAAAAGGTATCTAAACCAAAAATATTTTACACCACCCGTATATAGCTTTTTTCTCATTTTTATTTAATTATATAACAATTTATAATTTTATAAGCCTATATTCCAGGTAATTAACTTGATATTGCTTAAATGGAGTAATGAATGACATACCTTCATGAAGATGGCATCTCCTTGGGGAATGAATTTGAACATGTCACCACCCACATGGGTTACACCTGCAAATCATAACACAATTCACATGTGACAACAACAACGATTAAATATAATTAACCAATTATCAAATCAAATAAAATCAAAACCCTCACATGGAATCTGTGGTGCTTTGGCCACAACTTCAGGTAGGTCAAAGTTCACCCCTTCCTTGATTGTAGGGTGCTTTTGCAAGATCATACGGAGGCAGTCACCACCACTGCCACCCACATCCACCAGCTTCTGCACCCCTCGAAAGCCATCATAGCCAAGGAGCATGGCCCTCATGAAGGGCACTGAGACCCCAGCCATGGCCCTTAACATTAGCTCATTCATCTCTGGCTGCTTCAGGTAGTACCCATATGCTGCCTCTCCATTCGCCCTCTCGAAGGGCTCCTTCGTAGGGTCCACTACTGCCTCGTGCACCAACGGCCACGCTCGCATCAAAGCGTCCTACACACACGTGCCACGTTGCACATATTTTTTCTCTCTTATTATTATGTTGTCTTTACCCATTCAAGACACACACATTCATTCAATATGCACCCCTTATCTCACAAGTTTTCCAACCAAACCACCACTTCATTTTTAACATATCCTTTCCATTCTCACATGTCATAACTACTTTTTTTTATACTTATTATATAAATTAATCATTTATATATTATTAGTGTAAAATTTTTACACCGACAATTAATTATATCTTTTAATTGTGATATGACACAATTAAAAGATATAATTAATTGTCGGTGTAAAAAATTTTTACACAAATAATATATAAATTATTAACTCTTATTATATACTTCATTAATAATCATTTATTTATCTTACATGAACGCGACTTGACCATGACAAGGTTGCATATTAATTAAATTTCCACTTTTCAAAAAATAACCTATTGTTATTTCATTATATAAAAAAAAGTTTAATATATTTTTAAAAAAATCTAATTTTAGTCTATTTGTTCATCAATTAAGAAGGATCATAGTAAAGTTTATCTTCGAATATGAAAGTTAATTTAATATTCTTAAATTTAAATTTTATCTTTATTAAAATAATGTCTAATCAACTATAATTATATTTTATAAATAAAATTAATTTTTAATTACCAATTTTAAGACATTACAACTCACTTAGCAATGCTAAAAATATCCCATTAAACTAAAAATTATTATAAAAAATATTATGAGATGTATTATTATTGATATCGAGAAACTAAAATAATTTTTTTAAGATCAAACTACTAAAAGAAGACTAAATTGAGCACTTAATTTTCAATATTCGCAACAATAAATAAATAAGAAAATTGCGATATAATCGGACCTGATGGTGTTGGAGCACGTAAGGCGCGTAGGACAGGCCTTCGCCATCGGTGACGAGCGTTTTGCCGACGTCGGTGAGGGAAAATTTCCGTTCGCCGGCGTCGAGGTGCTCGTGGAAGACGCCGTAGCTGGCGAGCATACGGAGGAGGCGCTGGAGGTTCTCGGCGTCGCCGGCGGCGGGGGGGAGGAGGCGGGGGAGGATCTGAGCGGCGGAGAGGGGGGCGTTGGCGCCGTTCTGCCAGATGGCGTCGGCTACGTTGAGGCGAACGACGGCGTTTAGAGCCATGGGAACGCTTATCATGTTGGCGAGTTCCATAATGGCAAGCCTGGCTTGCTTTCGCCTCTCGGTTCCCTCCTCCTCCATGCCTCACTTTATGGGGTTTTGATTTGGAGTTTGTGAAGAAATTTGAGGATGTGGTGAAATTTATAGTACATCATAGGCTTAGCCTATGCTCTAATCTATGTACTACCCGCTCAGTGTAAAAGGGGAAAAAGTAAAAAAAGGTGAGTTTGACACGTTGATGTTGCATATATCTATGTCATTTATTTAATAAAAAAAAAAAGTTTCACTTTGTCCGGGGAAATTAGGCTTTGTTTGGATTTGATGATGGAAAAGAGAGAGTGAAAAAGGAGGGATTTGAAGGGAAAGTGAGGTTGTTTAGTACGAAAGCCGCGGAGCCTTGAAAGCCCAATGCCTAGCCGACTTCGTAGCCGAGCTCACATCTACCTCAATCGAAGAACCACAGGTATGGACTTTACACGTTGACGGGCCCTCCAATTCTAAAGGTGGTGGTGCAGGTATCATCTTGGAAGGACCGAACCAGGTCACTTTGGAGCAATCCCTTAAGTTCAGCTTCAAGGTGACCAACAACCAGGCAGAGTGTGAGGCGCTTCTCGCAGGACTAAGGCTGGCTCATGACCTCGGGGCTCGGAGGGTGAGTTGCAACAACGACTCGAAACTCATGGTAGAGCAGCTCAGCAGAACGTACTAGGCCAAGGACGTTCTCCTTCGACGAGTTCACTATACAACATGTACCGCGAGAACAAAACACCAGAGCCGACCACCTATCAATGCTCGCCAACACCAAACGCCCTGGACAACATCGGACCATCATCCAGGAGACCTTGCACTCACCCAACCTAGACGACAAAGTTGTCAACTCCAGCAACAATGAAGAACAAGGGTGGATGACTGGCATTTAGAGCTACTTGAAGGAAGGAGTTTTGCCCGAAGATAGGGACGAAGCTCGAAAGATGAGGTTGAGGTCGGCCAAGTTCGTGATCGTTGGCGACGAACTATTCAAGCGTGGCATCTCCACCCCACTGCTCAAGTGCTTAACTGCACCTCAGGCGGCCTATGTCATCGAGGAGATCCACCGAGGCATATGTGGCATGCATTCCGGGGCACGCTCAATGGCGACCAGAGTACTCCAAGCAGGATACTACTGGCCCACTTTGAAATCAGATTGCTGCTTGGAGAACGGGCCGTTCTGCAAGCAGAACGGGTCGTTCTGCTTGCACTCGTTATGTTTTTTCTTTTTCTTTTTTTTTTTTACTACTTTTTTACGTCGGACCTTGGTAATGTCCGACGTAAATTTACGTCGATTTTACAGGGCCGACGTAGATTTACATCTCCCGCATTAACATCGGTATTTTTTCGACGTAAAAAGCTTAAAATAACCGACGTGGAATACCTCTTTTGTACTAGTGTAGTTTCAATCGAAACCTTAACTACACTAAGACTAATTTACATTAGTTAATAAATTTAATCATATTAATTTTTATTAAAAAGCAATAATTATATTTTATTGAAATTTGATATTAAAAATAAATATTATTTTTAATGAATAAATTAAAAAAATTATTAAAACTAAGACAACAATAAAATGAAGTATATTTTTAAAATAATTTAAAGTAATAGAAATTTATTTAGTCTAATGCCCACACTAAATATTTATTATATATAAATAAAATTTATAAAAAATTATAATATATAAAGGCTTAAATATGTTTTTAGTCCCTCAAATTTAAGACAAATTTGTTTTTGGTCCCTCAAATTTAAAACTGTTGATTTTAGTCCCTGTAATTTTCAAAAATCTTATTTTAGTCCCTTAGGTCACCAATAACATATTTGAAAGTGATTAATTAAGATAGTTATGCAATATCAATCGGATTAAATGTGATATTTTCACTAATAGAGACATCAATAGGTAGATTTTATGCAATAATGTTTGATAAATTTCTTTACAAAATTTGAATAGAAGGACTAAAATAAGATTTTTTGAAATTATAGGGACTAAAAATAATATATATATATATATATATATATACACACACACACATAACTAACTACAAAATATTCTACCCTAAGGGTAGTCTACAAAATACAAACATCTCCAGCTCTCACCATTAGGTGACCTCTATCTTTAACATGTCAACCTATCCCTACCCTACTCCTATACAATGTATGATAATCGTAGTCCAAACCTTATAAAAACATGCATGGGTAAGCTAGGTAAAATAAACAACCCTCCGATACTCGGTTAGGAACTAAGTTCCTGACTTCGTATTTTACTTGAATTGGCCGCTTGTAATTGGTATAGCTCGACCTGACCCATATACCATAGTTGCTTCATACATGTGTGCCTCGACCTTGCCCACACATGGGATCAACTAAGTCCTAAAGGAGAACAACACATTATCCACTCCAAGAGACAACTTCTCGAGGAGGGTTTTTCAACAAATTGGTCTCTTAGAGCACCACAACTATCTCAATCTGCACAATGGGATGAGCAACTTCAAAAACGTCTCCCCTAGTCCTAGTGATCAACAATTCATCATCACAGTACAACAACAAAGTTATCATCTCATCAGTGCAGTTATCAGCTCATTTCAACTTTGTGGAAGGCTTTATGCACAAAATTTTTTGATGATGCTAAAGTGATTATAAAGCATTGAAGAAGAATCAAGGTTGAGCTAAAGCAAGTTGATGCAAGAACAAGATATCAAGTATTACATAGATAAGTCTTGTCAACTTAGCTAAAAATGTAAAAGAATCTTTTAGAATTGCAAGTATGTTTAGCCTTAAGAATAAGTTTTCAAAAACCTCAAATTAATCTCTTTAAATTTAAGCAAGTTTTGAATCTTTTGCAAGTAAATAAAAATGTTTTCAAAAGACTTAAACAAAAGCTTTAAAGAATAGTTCAAATCATTTCTTAAAATAAATTTGTGAAAGAAATTATTGCTATGAAGTTTTCTACATAAAAGTTTTTGAAACAATGCAACAATATGTTCTGGTAATCGATTACCAGCACTTGTAATCGATTACCAGCACTTGTAATCGATTACCAGGAGAGGGAACTTCAAAATTTGAATATTAAGATACAACGTTTTAATTATTTTGAAATTTATAACCGTTGTAATCAATTACCAAACCCTTGTAATCGATTACCTGTGTATCTTTTTAGAAGAATTCAAATAGTTACACCTTTTCATGAAAAGATACAACCATGGAACTTTTATCTATAAATATGGGTGATTTTTCTTTTAAAAGGTTAGGAACTCAAATGTGAAAAACGATTACAAAAACTTCTTGGCCATAATCACTTACAAATTATTTAAGAGTTCTTTAAGGATCTTCATCGTGTAATACCTACTCTTCAAGAGAGACATTTGTTAAAATTATTCTATCATTCAATTTGTAAAGGAGAAAGTGTTTTTCTCCTGGGTGTTTTTGGATCTCAACACAAGGAAAGAAAATTCCAAGGTGTTGGAGGATTCAAGTCTTGTAAGGATTACAAGGATAGTGAAATCTCAAGTGAGAGACTTCAGGACTGGATGTAGGCAGGATTGACGAACCAGTATAAAATCGAGTTTGCAAATCTTTCTCCTTACTCTTTTATTTATTCCTTTGATTGTGTTTAAGTAGTGTGCATCTTCATTCTTTACATATAAATTTATCTAAGGAATTGAATTTATAAGAAAGTAATTTGAAAAACTTTTAAAAGAGGAAAACATGGAAAACTTAATTCACCCCCCTCTTAAGTTATATGAGGCTACTTGTATAACAAACTTTAAACAACACAATTAACTCAATAGCTCAACAACTCAACTCACAAATTACAACTCAACCATCACAAAGTAACATATTTTCAACACATAGTGCAACATACAACTTTATAACAACATACAACTCTCATCTAACAACTTAGCAACATTATCATCATGCACTTCACAACTCTCAACTAGATCATCTCATCATATTTCACAACATATACATAGTCAACACATAACATATAACAACTTAATTTCAACATGCTTCAATAATATCATTTTTTTTCAACATATAATTGATCAACACACAACTCGTAAACAACTTCAACAACATACAACATATAAACAACTCCAACAACATGCAACATGTTCAACACATAATGTTCCTCATCATACCACATCTCTACAACTTATTCAATATCATTTAATCATAATACAACTCAACAACAAGCTTTCAACATACAACTCATCCATCATGTAAGCAACCAACTTAATTAGAAAAGAAATTTATTAAACTAAGTCTCCATGCTTAGCATAAAAACTCATGTTCAGCCTCAGCCTTCTAGAGGCACAACTCAGCTCTCACACTAAGCGCAAAATCCCACGCTCAACGTTAGCCTTTCAGAGGCATAACTCACTCTCATGCTCAATGCAAAATCTCACGCTCAATCCCAACTTTCCAATGGCACTCCCAAATTGTCACGCTAAGCGTCCCAAACCTAGAAAACTCATACCAACATATGAACAACTCAAATCTCCAAATCCTCTCAACCCATGAAATGATCACCGTTCTCCAAGCAGAACGACCCGTTCTTCATTCAAAACGGCTCGCTCTTC